ACCCGGACGAGATCATCCAGCGACTCCAGGCGTCTCACATCACGGCACCTGGCCACACTAATCTGAATAGCCAAGGGAGAGCTGCCCACATCCACCCGTTTGACACCCAGTATTCGAGTCAAGAAAACATCCCCAAGTTCAAGATTCCTCAAGATGGCGCCCCCGCTGATACCGTCTACCACATGGTGAGGAACCAGCTGGATCTCGATGGCAAGCCAAACTTGAACCTCGCCAGGTAAGCCTGCACAGATGCTCTTTCCTGACTTGGAACAAGTTTCTTACGCCAGCACAGCTTCGTCAGCACATTCCTCGAGCCGAATGCCCAGCAATTGATGGAGGAGAACTTGACGAAGAATCTGGCCGACTCGGACGAGTATCCGGCCATGATGGACATCCATCAGCGATGCATCAGCATCATTGCTCACCTCTGGGGTGTACAGCCCGGTGAGAGGGCAATCGGCTCCGCCTGCACAGGTTCTTCTGAAGCCATCCATCTTGGTGGTCTCGCCATGAAACGCAGATGGCAGGAGAAGCGAAAGGCTGAAGGCAAGGACGCTTCCAAGCCCAACATTATCATGGGCGCCAACGCACAAGTCGCCCTGGAGAAGTTTGCCCGGTATTTCGAAGTCGAGGCCCGTATCCTACCCGTCAGCGCGAAAAGCCGCTTCCGTCTAGATCCCGAGCTTGTAAAGGAGAACATTGACGAGAACACGATTGGCGTCTTTGTCATCCTTGGAAGCACTTACACAGGTCATTACGAGCCGGTCGAGGAAATTTCGAAGATTCTTGACGACTTTGAGGCAAAGACGGGTATTGACATTCCCATCCACGTCGATGCTGCTTCTGGCGGCTTCATCGCTCCATTCACCGACGCTGGTGCCGGTGGCGCCAAGTGGTGGGTTCTTTCGCTCTGTGAATAGACTCTATAGAACTGACCTCCATTATCAGGAACTTTGAACTTCCAAGAGTCAAATCCATCAACACTTCGGGTCACAAGTTTGGTCTTGTGAGCGCAGGCCTCGGCTGGATTATCTGGCGGGATGAAGCCTACCTTCCTGAATTCCTCGTCTTTGAGTTGCACTATCTCGGTGGCACCGAAAAGTCTTACACGCTCAACTTTTCCCGGCCTGGTGCGCAGGTTGTCGTCCAATACTACAACCTTGTGCATCTCGGGTTTTCCGGGTACCGCGGTATTATGGAGAATTGTCTCGCGAATGCACGATTGCTGGCCAACAGCTTGGAAGAAACAGGCTGGTATACCGTCGTGTCCGACATTCACCGCCGCGTGGATGGCGGATCCGACAGGGCACCCAAGTCCGGAACTGAGGGCGCTGAACAAGAAACCCCACGCGAGACCTCGGCGGACTACGTTGCTGGCCTGCCCGTCGTTTCGTTCCGTCTCACCGATGAGTTCCAGAAGCAGTACAGCCACATCAAACAGGAGACGGTGTCGCTGTTCCTGCGCGCCAAGGGTTGGATCATTCCCAATTACGCTCTGCCGCCCAGCGAGGAGAAGACGGAAATTCTGCGGGTCGTCGTTCGCGAAAATATGACCTTCGACCTCTTGGAGCTCCTGCTTACCGACATTGTAACGGTCACGGAGACGCTTATTGAGAACGATCAGGTCGATCTTTCCTCGCTGAAGCGGCATCACATTGGGCACGGCAGGCGGCCTGTCACCAAGCAGGATCACGAGAGGCACAAGCGTAGACTTGAGGGACACGGTAAGAAGAGGCTGCAGGACGGCATTCACAGGACCGTGTGTTAGATGGGTGACCGGGAAGAAATGGATTCCGCAGTAATTATATTTTCTGTTGTCTGTTTTTTATTACCATGGGGTCTTAGGGTCAGCCAACCATGCTTCTCTTGTTCGCCCCCGTGAATTGCACATTTTCATTACCAACCACGCCCGTCTTGACGTTACCAATACCCGCCACCTCACCGCTGCCACCGGCCTGCATCACAGAGGCATAGTTGTCGGCCATAAGCTGCACGCCAGAGACAAAGTCCTGACCGTCAAAGGCGCAGTGACCACCGTTGGGTGTGCCGTCGACGGTCTGCAGGGCGTTGATCTGATCGGCCGACAGGCCCTGGGTCTGCAGGACGTCTTCGTACGCTTGGATGCCGGCAGGTATGGCGCCCTGCAGCAGGTCGAGCTCCTGGTTTGTTGTCTGGAAGTGCACACGCGCGCCGGTGAGAGCGGCGGCGCTGGCGTCGGTGACGGCGACCTGGGGCGGCATGGCGCCGCAGTTGAGCATGACGCCCGTGGCGCCAAAAGCGTCCATGTGGGCGGGCATGACGAAGCCGGAGAGCAGGAGGGAGCCGCCGCTGACTCCGGTAAGGAAGACATTGGAGGCGTTGAAGGCCACGACCTGGGGCAGAGTCTGGGTGACGAGGTCAGTGACGGCCTGAGCATGGGCCACGCCGTCGGTGCGGTCGAGGCCCTGGCCGCCGCCCCAGAAGAGGTTCGCATTGGGCGCGAGGACGGCGACGCCGGCGAGGTTGGCTTGCGCCGCCTGGTTGGGAAAGTCGAAGAAGGACTGGCCGCCGTCGCCGTGGAGGAGCACGTTGAGGCCCATGGAGCCCGCTGCGCCCGGGGTCTGGGCCGCACCCGCGACAGGGTTGGCCGTGTTGACGGGGCTATCAGCGACGAATTGATCTGCGGGCATGGAGACCCTGAAGCGCAGAGGGAGGCCACTTGGGAGACTATTAGTAGGGCCCACAGGTGGCATGACGGTTAAGGGGTAACAGGGGGATGGGGGGACAGGTAGGTTGGCTTACTTGACTTCGGCAGTCATATCGAGGATCGTGGAACCGTCGGTGGCCTGGGAGATTCCCTGAGGCACCCGGGCCGCCTGCTGCTGTGCCGTTTGCCTGTTCCCTCTCCCGTTGCCTCCGCCATTGCCGTTGCCATTGCCATTGCCGTTGCCATTGCCATTGCCATTGCCGTTGCCATTGCCGTTGCCATTGCCGTTCCCTCCGTTGCTACCACCTGGCCTGCGGTTCTGCGGGTTTGGGCTCGGCGCGGCGTTCACCACGAGGAGGAGCAGCGTCAGCGCCGCGAGCAATGAGCGGATGTTCAACATCCTGCTTCAATAGTAGGTTTACCGGCGGGGTCGCTACTCTTGTCTTACAATGGTGGGCTGGTCTGAGCTCGACGCTGAAGAATTTCCAGAATTCTCAGAAGAAGCCAAGACAAGAAAAGGGGAGGGCCAAGACGAACCCATCGGGCTTGCCCTGTGTCTTTATGTAGGTACGGGCCATGCCTAAGACTTAGGACGACAGGAGTATCGTCGAGGGTTTAGCCCATGGGCCCCATCCGTGCTGTGACTTTGTGTTTTGCAACTCCTCACTCCTAGAAGCGAGCGTCAGTTGTGGCCTGTTCCTTCCGGAAACACTGTAGGATGTAACAAGCCCTCCGGGCATGCTTGTTTCGTCCGACCGGGACGTGTGTGAGGATTTAGGCACGGGGGCGGAGGAGGCCCGTTCCCTCTTTCTGCTGGTGGAGTCGTGACAATCTTGAGACTTGACAGGGCGTAGGCATGTCCAATGCCCGTTCAATTGAAATGGGCCGCGTCCCTTGTTGAATGTGAGAATACGAGTCTTGCCAGAACTGAAGATAATATGGATATGGATCACGATGGACATCACTTCACGAACACCGGACTTGGCGTTTCTCTCTGTCCTGGTTGGCATCTCCCACACAACCTCCCCCCACAGGCCGTGCGAGTGCCGGGCTAGCCGGGTCACTTGTTTCGGAGCCTCACGAGGTGACATCGGCCAAAAGATTAAAAAAAAAAAAAGGTCCCATGCTAGTGACTCCTTACTATTTGTTCCCCCGCGTGGCCTACTAACGACGACATATTTCACAGCAATTACAGCTTGGCGCCCTGGGCCTTCCTGTCCGCCTTTTCCTTGTCCCGCAGCAGCCTCCGCAGGATCTTGCCGCTCGGGCTCTTGGGGATGATCTCGATAAACTCGACGCCGCCCTTGAGCCACTTATGCCGGGCCTTGTGGTCCTCGACATGCTTGGCGATGGCGCGCGCGACGTCCTCGTCCGACCGGCCGTCGGCCCGCTTCGTCTTGACGACGTAAGCCTTGGGCACCTCGCCGGCGCGGTCGTCGGGGACCTGGATGACGGCGCAGTCGGAGACGAACTCGTGGGCGAGCAGATGGGCCTCGAGCTCGGCGGGGGCGACCTGGTGGCCCTTGACCTTGATGAGCTCCTTGATGCGGTCGACGATGACAAGGTGCTCGTTGCCCGAGGCGGCGCGGCGCACGAGCACCTCGTCGCCCGTGCGGATCCAGCGGCCGTCGTCGAGCCAGACAAACGTCTCGGCCGTCGCCTTCTCGTTGTTGAGGTAGCCCAGCACCACCGACGGCGCCTGCACGAGCAGCTCGCCGGGCGTGTCGTACGCCGTGATCTCGCGTCCCGTCGTCGGGTCGACAATCTTGGCCCGGCACGCCGGCACCAGCGAGCCCGACGAGCCCTGGTCTATGTCGTGCTCGCTCGTCGTGCTGACGACGGTGCACGTCTCCGTCATGCCGTACGCCTGCCCGACATGCCACGCCGGGTACTGCTTCGTCACCTCGTCGATCGTCTCCGACCCCAGCGGCGCGGCGCCCGCGTACAGGTACCGCACCGAGCCGAGGTCGTACTGGCTGCACAACTGCTGGCTGCGGATGATCTGGATCACGATCGGGGGTACCTAAACGAAACGCCAGACGTCAGAACTAGGTCTCTGATGCACTGAGGTTGACGTTGCTTTGTCTTGGCCTGCAAAAACCTACCACGTAGAGCTGGGAAATTTTGTACTGCTGCACGGCGCCGAGGAAGGTCTTGATGTCAAACTTGGGGAGCACGATGACCTCGTCGCCGCGGTAGGAATTGCTGTGGGTGATGATGATGAGGCCGTAGATGTGGCTGAACGGCAGCAGGCCCAGGTCGACCTGGGTCTCGATGTTGAGCTTTTTCCGAGCGACAGAGTCAAAGGTTGTGTACTGCAGAATATTGGCAATGACATTGAGGTGCGAGATCATGACGGCTTTCTACTCATGGCGCAGGAGGTCGTCAGTAGGTGTCGTGCGGAGGATGACAACACGGAAGAGATGGAGCACGGAAGGGAAAGCAAAGAATACGACGGACGACATACCGGCAGGCCAGACGTGCCACTGGAGTAGCATAGGTAGGCAACCTGGCGGGCGCCCTGCCCCTTGCCCATCGGAGAGGCTCGACGGCGGGCAGCTTCTTGCCCTCCTCGATGAGCTCGTCGAGCGTGGCGAAGGGCAGCCTGGCGGTGCTGCCCGGTGTGGCCAGGATGAAGATGCGCTCGTTGGGGATGCCGGCGCCCTTGGCGGCCTTGAGCGCCGTCTCGAGAAGGGGCTCGCAGGTGAAGAGGGCCTGGGCACCGGAGGAGCGCAGCTGATGCTCGAGCTCGGTGCCGAGTAGGCGACGCTCGCGGGCGTCACGAGCGCCACCCAGGCGGTGGACGGCGTGGGTCAGGGGAATGTAGTCGATCGTGTTGAGGGAGAAGAGAGCCACGACCTTGTCCCACTCTGTGCCCTCGTTGGGCGCGAAGTCGAGCTTCTTGCCGATGGCGCGTGACAGGTGGTCGACTCTTTGCCTGACCTCGGGGATAGTATACGTCTTGCCGGTGAGGCCGCAGGTGTAGGGGTTTCTGGACTTTGCGCCGGCGTAGCGGCCATATTTCTCCGTGTTCATAAACTCGTCAATTGTGATCGAGTCGGGCGGGTCTAGTGGGGGAGGGGGGGGGCATCGTCAGCTCACACCTCGACCCGTCGGGGACAGTCGACTCGTCTGGAAGCAGTGGCTCATACCAATAGGCAGCTTGGGGACCCATGCTGGTGATGTGAAAACCATGTTGGTCGTTGTCGCAGCAGCGACGGGTTCGGTGCGTCGGAGTGAGAGTGTCGCTTGCGCTTGTGTGGGTGAGAGGTGTATGGGGATTTACCGAGACTGAGCTTGGAACACGACACTGGGCTTTCGGATTTCAAAAGCCGGCGGTCAATGCAGACTGCTGTGAAGACTCGTTATCGGAGGGGGATGAAGCAGAGCGAACTGGGTCGTCAGACAGCGAAGGTCGGCAGGATATGAAAGGGCGAGTCGGTCGTCGTTCGGAGATGGTGAGGCGGCCATCGGCGTTTATAACCTGTGTGTTGGAGCTCTGGGGGCCGCTGGGAGTGGAAACGATCCCCTCGTGGAGCCATGAGCCGGCTTTGGGGCCTCTGGCGCATGGTGAGCGATGAACCGAGTCGTGCACAAGCAGCACAACGGGCCTCAGCCCCCCGTTTTTGGGATCTTGGTGACGATATGGGGTAGGGATGCCATCCTTGAATAGGCATAGCGCTACGATTCTCCGCACTTTGGTCGACGCGCCTAGCGTCAAGCAGATTGGGGAAGAGGCAGACATGGCCGGGGTTAAGGGGAGATGAATGGTAACTCGAAAATGGAAAGCCGACGGAGAAGCCGACGACACACGACACATACCAACCCTGAGTCAGCTTGTCCATCCCCTTGTCATTTGCCTCGGCTGCGGCTATAAGTGCTGTCTAAGCTCTTCTGTCGTCCAATTGCCCATTGCTCGATTGTTCAGTTGGGAGGGCAATCCACAATCAAGCAGCCCACGGGATTTATATCCGTACTAGCAATCATGGAGTTTGACAGCAAACCCGATGGGGACGGGCTTTCCCATGCCATGCGCTGCGTCACAAATGTCAGTTCTTTGCTCCCAGGGGCACACCTTTGTTCATTCACCGCTGTGTGATCATGTATCACGAGGATGTGTCTCTCACTATTTAAACCTCTTCTTTTGCATGCGTTGTCTGGCTCATTCATCTTCGGTCGTCTCATCCATTAACCCTGGCTCTCGTAACAGGGCCTCTCCTGCTCGCCACTACATCAATTCATGTGCGGTTTGACTCACAGGGGAAATGTGCTCATCACTCCCTGTGGCCAATGAATGACGATAAGTTCGGCCATCTTGATATAAGAGCATGCCCATAAGCCGTGAACTCTCAACTCGACCCTACGGTCAACACTGCCTCAACAGCCCCTGGATTGGTGGCCCTCATCAGGTGCCATAAAATGGCAGCGCTCTGCATCATCGCGACTGCCTCAAATCGGTGACAAGCAGGAACGGCCCTGCCGTGAGAATGGCTCGCTTAATGTGGCGACTACGTGAATTGCTGTCGCGGCAGCGGCGCCCTCGACATGACGGCAGGCACGATGCCATCGCCCCTTCTCTGGCGAGTCACTGCCGCCTTCTTCACTGGCCACACTCAGTTTTCCCACACCTATATATGTTCGATCGATCGCGGCTTCTGAAACCATATCTTCTCGGACACCAATCCCCTTTCCAAGTCCAGCATACATTTTTCTGAATCAACCTGCCGTGCCGGTTCGATTCCTTATCCCTTTTCACTGCGTCGGTCTCCTTTTACCACTCGAGGAACTTGAGTCGCCAAGAAGGTGGTCAAGAAGTAAACATATAAGTATCAAACGCCTCACGTCGATTACCACACGACGCGTCAACTCAAGCAGACACTTGAGAAGGCTCCAAGAACGTATCTGAATCTTTCTGAAGAATCCAAGACGAGGGACTTTAAAGGTAAGCTGACAAAAGATCTCCTTGTGAACCTTCCCTTTCGATGCTGTTCACTTGAGGGCATGTCATGGCGGCGCACCTCATTCGTGTCTGGACTTCCCAAATGCTTTGCTGATCCTCATCAACAGCAAAGCCTCTTTGAAGAGAACTGGCCTCTCTGTGACCAGGAATAGCTCCTCAAAGCGTCTGCAGTTCTTGTTGTACATTCATATCATTCTCACGAGATCACCTCTTCACCCCTTCGAAGCCAAGGTACCATGTCACTCTCACAGGTGTCGCCATTGGGTAAACCTGTAGTCTGGTCGGAGAATCGACAGGCTTTGTGTGATTCTCTGTGGTACTTCAAACAACACCAAGCCGGAAGCTACCCCATCGATGGCGTTCTCAGAGGATTTCTGCTCGACGGCGAGTCGACTATCCGGGATATCGTGACCCCAGATGTCATCATATCTACTTTGTGAGTCTTTCTCTTGTTGCTTCAGAACAGCACTCCAGTCGGTCTTCTCAAAAATTGCACACAAAATCATGCAAAGAACGCTGTCTGGATCCCTCAGCCTGACTCTTTTGCCGTTGCTATAATACTTGGAGCTGACGACTATTTGCACAGGGGCGGAGGTCGTCAGAAAGACTCAACGACCAAGATGTCCGTACGCGTCAACGAGACGCGTGACTGCATTGTGAATCAGTGCAGAGAAGCCTTCAAAAGAGGTGTGCCAGTCGCTGTCATTATTGGTATGTTCACCTCGTACTCATGCTGTTTTGAATCATCAAGCTCACATGGCCTCGATCAGGGCGTAAATGCACACTGGCCTCAGTACGAGTCCTTTACAATTACAATGTACTTGACTGGTTCACCATCACGGACATGTGGATTGAGAAGGATGGACAGAATGACATCTTCTTCTGGAAGATCCGCCTTGAACGAACCGACCGCACCACACCATCCTGGTGCCAACCTTGTGATGCCCTTACACAGACTGTCGAACCTCGACCATTCCCCCACGGAAAGTTGAACTGTGTTCACTGTGGTGTCATATCCATGTATAGTTTTGCACAAGGCTGGGCCTGCCTCAATGGCAACTGCGAGCAGCATTTCACGCTCGCCGACGGAACGTCACTTACCGATCTCTCCTATGCTGGCCACTCGGCCACCATCATTGCCTGGTGCAGCGAATGCAAGCACGCAAGCAAGACCATATTCGACGACGGCTGGACCTGCATTAACCGCGGCTGCTCCAGAGCATTCGAATTCCCTGCCAAGGTAGACATTGGCGCTCTCACATACTCAGAGGCATTTCTTTCTGAGCGCACCACTTTTCCTACGCCTCCAGATTCCCTGATCCCTCCGATGCCGAACCCCAGCCAAGGTTGTGGCACAGAAAAGGCAGCTCGAATTAGTATGGTCTGCCCTCAATGCCACGGCTGTAGTCGCAGAGTCTACTGGAATCGATGGTCGTGTGATAACAAGGAATGCAACTATATACTGCCAGCTGCGCCACGTCCCTTATCCATCGAGGACATCAGAGCCGAAACCACCAAGCGCAAGACTCTTTTGCAGGTCAAGAAGAACGATCTCCTTGTCCGGCGAGACTTGACGATCTGTGGTCACAAGGTCGAGCAATACTTCCTGCCTGACATGGAGGCCAAGGGTCGATGTTGTGGGACTGTCCTTATCTTCCGTGCTACAGATGCCATCAACAACACTCAGAACGGCCCAAATCATCTGTGGATGGACATTCAGGAGGCGGCTACATATGGTGATGACTTCAAACGCAATGCTGTCAAATGTCCTGGGAGTAAGTCTTCAAGATTTGCAATCGCCCCCTTATGTTGTTCATGCATGCTGACGAAGTTGAACAGCCTCATCGGAGATCATGACACGCAATTTCCAGCGGAACTGGGGCGCCCCGTATAAGTTTGTTGTGGCTGTCAATTCCACCAGCTTCAAAGAGGCGCCGCCGTACGTCATGCAAGCTCTCAAGCGGATGCAATGGGCGGGACGGAAATCCGTGCAAGCAAGTAATGACGGCTTTGAGGAAGGGCATGCACTGGAGTCGCCATCAATGGACACGAAGTTCGTTGACTTCAATGAACTGCTGACCATTGGGTACATGGAGGATGATGCCATTAGTGTAAGAGATCAGCCCGTTTACTGAGTGACGGCCATGAGCTAACCACTCGGCCGCAGTACCACGACGATGGCGAAGACACATTGGGACCCACGGTTGCAACTCTGTCTCTTGGAAGCTCTGCGCGCATGCTGTTCGCAGAGAAGACAAAGTACAACCCTAAGACAAAGAAGGGAACCAGAAGTACGGCGCGCAACCAAGTGCTCGCGTTTCCCCTTCACCACGGCGACATGGTGGTCATGCATGGGGCTCAAGTCCACCAGCAGTACGACGTAAGTTGACCAATGCTGAACCCCTTGGAGCGATGCCTTCTAACAACGTGTCTTTCAGCATAAGGTCGAACCCAGCGGCAAACGACGATTCGCCTTGACGTGCCGAAACATCATTATCAGTAAAATCCCAGAAGACCAGCAGGAGAATGCCATAACCAAAGGAGAGATTCCCGCAGATGCGGGACAGTGGACGTATGATGGGTACTGATGTCGGCAGTTGAACCGACTCTTACGAACCATTCTAGTTCCAGGTTGCACAAGCTTTTTTCTCAGTAGGTTTGGCTTTGATGCATGTATGTTGTGGCTAAGGGGCTCTGATCTGACGACAAGATCTGAGCAATGGAGCCATACAGTTCAGCGGGTTAGGGTTTCTTGACTGTTATCGAACTTGCTTTGGCCTAAAGGTGTCACTGGCACAGGCCTTTCTATTCAACAATGTTAACTCTGAACGATAGTGATCCAACCCCATCATGACTATATTCATTGAAGACATTTGGCTTGGTGATGAACAGCATGAACGAGAAGGTTCAAGAGGAGACACTATGGGACGGGAACATGCTCATGAGCATGAGGCTGCAGTCCGAATGTTTGAAGGGTATGGATGCTCTTTTACTGTTGTAGACCGCGACGCAAGGCGGGAGCTGTAGTAATTCTTGTGCATGAATATTGATTGTGGTGAAAAAAGACCTGACCACATTCGTGGAAGAATGAGGTGAAGAGCAGGAGACGAAGGAGATGTGTTCCATCGCAAGGCAGCTGGCCGGCCCTGCACCTCATTGATACAGGCTCTCTGGTAAGTGCAAGTGAAAAGTTTTCGAATGGGTTATTACAAGCAGCTACCGTCTAGGCTTCGTACACAACATCATTCCTGCAGCTCATTACTGTGTCAATGAAAAGGAAAATTTGGCGGTCTGAGTTTTGTAAATGGCATCAGGTAATGTACAGTTGGGGTGATGTTACATGATACATCCGTGATCCTACAGCAAAAAAGTCGGCACGATCTGACGTCTACCGTCTGTTCAGACCAGAGACGAGCAGCACAACGCTGCCAAACTGCCTCCGCAGATCCTCCTTCTCGACGTCGTGCGTGTCCTCGACCTCGCCCCAGTGGCCAGTCTGCCAGGCGACCTCCAGACTCGTCGCCACAGCGGCCTGCTCGACGCCGAACTTGTCGTCGGCGGCCTCGCGCGCAGGCCGCAGGCCACCGGCGGGCTCGTCCTCGCTCCACTCGACGACGAGGCGGCTCGCGGCGACGACGCTCTTGCCGGCGAGCACGGCCCTCTCGAGGCCGGCGAGCTCCCAGGCGCTGAGCCCGCTCACCCAGGCCTTGACAATGTCGCGGACGCCGTCGGCCTGGGGCCGCGGCACGATGGCGTTGCCTTCGAGCACGGGCGCGATGGAGACGCCGCGCCAGACGTGCGCCCGCAGGTAGGCGAGCACGTCGGCGGCCGGTCTTTCTCTGGACGTCGCGCAGCCCGTCGCCGTCCTCGTTGCGGAATGTCCATGG